AAATTTCTGCAATCGCTGAATTAGAAAATGGTGCGATTGAAATCAACAACTGGATGAACGCTAATGAACTCATCGAAAACAGAATTCATAACATTTGGAAGTTCTCAACAACTCGAAAAGTGTCACCTAAAATCCATTTGTATTAACGGAGATAAGATCAACTCCGAAGAGTCCATTAGATATTTAGGTGCATTTCTAGACCAAACACTAAATTTCAAGGAACATGTCAAACGAAAGTGCCGTACTGCAATGTTGAACTATCTTAGAATAAAACGTATCCGAAAATACCTCACCAAAGAAGCAGCTGAAATACTAGTAATAGCACTCGTAATGTCACACTTGGATTATTGCAATGTCATTCTTTATGGTGTATCCGATTTTGAATTGAAAAAAATGCAACGTATTCAAAACATGTGCGCTAAGTTAGTTCTGCAACGAAAGAAATTTGACAGTTCAAGGCAAGCATTGTTCGACCTTCACTGGCTGCCCATCAAATCTAGAATCGAATATAAAATTCTGACTTTTGTATACAATTGTTCAATCGGTCATGCTCCAAAATACCTTTCTGAACTCCTAACCAAACAAGTACCAAATACCCGACTACGTTCAGCTAGAACCTCTGAGAACTGCTACGTTATTCCATTCAATAAAAGAAAAACATTTAGTGACAGAAGTTTCGGAACTTTTGGTCCAAAATTGTGGAATCCGCTGCCATTAGAGTTGAAACAATCTAAAAATATTGATGTATTTAAGAGAAATCTTAAAACACATTTTTTCAGAAAGTTTGAATCACTATTTTAAAATCTGAAATGAGATAAACATGAGTAACATATAACTGATGACTGACAGTGTGATGAATGTACAATGTAAATGAATGTTTTATTCTTTTTAATCTATTTGTAATCAAGTTACATGTATGTAAATAATCTTATCTCATGCTACATGTATATCAGTTTTATCATTTTATGGTCTCTAAATTTTTTTAAAAATATGTTAATTGGAATTGTATGTAAAAGCTTTTATTTCATTTGATGTTGATCCACATATTCTTATGCATTCACAATTTTATTCTTATTATATTATATGTACTGTACAACGCCGTTGAATATTGTTGAATAGAAACAGGCGTTTAATTAAATAAAAAGTTTCAAGTTTCAAGTTTCAAGTCAAGGACGCCAATAAAAGAGACTGGCGGTATACTGTTGAAGATTAGTGTAATAACACTGGAATGAGTAGGGGAACATTTTATCGCATATAATGGAAAATCTAAGCATGGAGAAACTTTGCTGGCGATGGGTCCATAAACGTCTTACACCAGACCATAAGATAAAAGAGAGTGGCTGGATTTCTGAATTTTCCTTTTGAGTCTGAGAACAATGAACAATCCTGCCAATGGACAATAGACGGCTCTCGAAAGCGCGACGAGCGATGTCCATAGACAGGGCTAGGATAATATTTCATCTTACAATACCACTTAACACTACATTGAATGCCGAGCACTATTCAACGGTAAAATCTATTTAATACTGTAAAGAACAAATAATTCTAGATTTTAAAATGTACATTAAAATTATACTGCTGTTGATAAATACACGACCATTTGATTTTTTTATTATCACTTGTTTGTTAATCAGGTATTGCAGCGATATTTAGTGCGAGCTTTTTCTCATAACTGTCCATTATCCAAACTGGACAGGGTATTTCTACATAAGGACAACGCATCGCGCTTTTAAACGCAGCTACCAACTATAGATAAGTGAGCTGGTCTGTAAGGTTGAAAAACACAATGAACCGATTCACCCGATATGGTTCCGATAGATTTCCTGTTGTCAGAGGTGCACTAAAGAAAAGATAGTTTGATCCGTTCCATTTAATGTCTATGACAGTACAGACGTGGAATTCGCTATACATAATGCTATACTTATGTATTATGGTCCTGGTATGTTTTTTATAACTATTTGTTTTTTAGATATAGAATCTAATACAAGTCTACGTAAGTCTTGGAGGCTCTCGCACTTTTCCTTGGTTTCCTTTATCTGATATTGATCCGATGAACGATTTGTAATTGATGTCCTTGTGCAAATATGTTTCAAAATGATTTGAATTTTGTATTTGCTAATTTCAGGTTACAATGCCTGCAAACAGCAAAACCTTGATATGGGAGATAGTGTTTTAAGTGTGATAGATAGTGAAGTAAAAAATAATCTCTTGTAATTAAAGTAATTAAAGTGGTAACTTGAAGAAAATCTATTGCCTTGCTTAAAGCAAATTGTCAACAGAGTTAATTATAGAGTCACGTTGATGAAAGCTATGGATGCAATTCTACTTTGGTTTTATAATTATATCTAAAAAAAATATTTTCTTGCTTTTAATTTTCGTAAAAGGGAATTTCTTCGTAAGTAGACTGCACTTTTATAATACCATAACCAATTTTATTGTCGCTTTCAGTAGTATAGTAGAGGAATAAACCTATAAACTTTTACATTGTTTACCTTTTAACTGTGCATCAATTATAGGAAATAAAAGGAAATCAGTAGTCTAGCAATAAGATCAAAGAGCATGATTTTCTTCCCTCTCAACTCTGTGTCACATATATGGACTTCACATTCTTTTCACATACATGTACTTACAATAATTAATATATTTTTCATCTTAAAGATGGATTTAAAATAAATATTTTTTACTGATCAATACCTCTCAAGAACAAATGCTATTACATTACATGTATTAGCAAAAAACTGTTGTTTAAGTAAGATTCTAAAATCTTAAGGTTTATGATGAGTTATGGAGGTCCTAAAACAAAACATTATCTGGTAACATGTAGTTGTTGTAAACTTCCGCATCTTTGAACTATTTAACATTGACACAGTTGAAAATTATGGAAGGATTATAATCTTTGTAATAAACAGAACTTTGGCAACGGAACAGAATCCGTTGAGACACAAACATTGCATTTCACTTATACAAAATTAATAACATGCAGTGCAATCTGCAAGCGTCTGCCTGTTTTATCATACCATCTATTGAAAATACAATTATTCAAACGAAGTGCACATGGTGGGCTTGATTAATGTATCCGCGTATTTGATGCAGACACTATTTCTTTATAGAAACACTAGTGATTCGACAATGTTAATTAAACTTCATTATATTATGTTGGTTACAATAAAAATACTGCAATTTTGTATCAATTCAGTTTACTTTTGTAATAAATTGCAAACTGATAATAAGTTAGCAATCAGTAAAATGACTTATGTTATAAACAAAAACATAACGATGTTTTATTTTCATGCTGATGCCATACACAAGTACGAGGTTTGTTTGAAAATAAATATGTTTAGTATGTAACTCGCGCATTGAAAATTAACAGGAAATATAGATAGTTGAGTGTTCATACAAGTTATCTTTACATGCTTTTTAAAACATTGCACTTTTTACTTCTTCAAAATTTGTTGTACGCCATTGAAGTACGTTCTTAGAGCAATAAGTAATTACGATTATTCAGATAATCGGTAGTTACCTTCAATTTATTCCAATAAAGGTTGAAAACTTCATGGCTTGCAAAGTATCACAGACAAATATCCTTTATCCACGACAAAATTAAATAATTGAAATAGAAATGTGTTAAAATGTTGACTCAATATATTTCACTTTAATTACATAATTTCATTGTCTAGGTTTCAAGGACCAAAGCCTTTTTAAAATGAAAAATGATAAAAAAAGCTGGAAAGCACAGATAATAAAAATTCAATAACGCCAAAGATCTAGTATGTAACCAAGGCTAATGAACTGAGCGACTTTAATTCTCCTCATATTGATGTTCAAAGCTTCTGCATCTTTGAACTTCTTAAAAATAGCAGATTTGGATATAATGGGGAAAAACTATGAACTTTGTATCAAACAGACCTGTGGCAACTTGAAACAATTCATGGAGACATAAAATATGGCATTTCAATGTTTGAAAATTAAAAAACGTGAAGGACAATTTGCAAACGACTGACTAATCATTTGTAATTGCACTCTTTTAAAAGTACAACTATGCAAAGTGTAATGGTTGGTTTAATGAATGAAATTCATATTTGATGCAGACATATTTCTTAATAAAAACAACGATGAATCAACGATATATATTAAACTTGATTATGTTTGGTTGATTTCAAGAAGAGTGCAAGTTTATATAAACAAACAACACTGAGTACCTTTTCTAATCAATCACAGACTGATTATTGTGTTATTTTCTACTCATTGCCTCCAATCTCTACAAATTACATTTCCTTTAAAACACAAAAAAAAATGTGAATTATCTTATTTTAGTGCCTATATGCCTTTAGTACTATATAAGTTTGATCAAATAAACCCCGAGAACATTTTACATGTACGAGGATTGTTTGAAAATGAATATGTCCAGAAAGTTTTGCGAAAACAGATGTTTATTTATTTTGCATAATAGTCAATTACTGCTTTCAGGGCATTTTTACAAATGAAGATCATGTTAACTTACGTTTATTTTAAACTTATATTCGGTAAAAAGACCATCATTTACAGAAATTGTAGAAGGTGATTAAATATCGCAGTCTGGTCTGGATCCATGCTAGTCGCAAACCCATTAGGTTGGTTTTGTCATGGCACGGCTCATTTGTCTCATCACTGATTCAGAAATCCTGTGATATTTGTAGTTGGTCACTTAAAGTGAAAGTGGTAATTATTGGTTAGTTTTCAAGGAAAGCTGGTCAGGTGGACAGACCACCAAGATATGATCAGAAATGTGTCAGCATAAAGACATTGTTTTAGAACTACCCATGTATGCAGAAATGCTGACCTTCAATATATTCTTTTTACAGTGGTTTCTAAAATTGTTCATTATTCAATAATAATAGTAGATATAAATAAAATAGTAGATATAAATAAAATAATCCAGATTTCTCTACTTACAGTTAAAGATGCTTCAAGCTCCAGCTGCAGATAACAACAAAGCTCCAATACTGGATGTGTTATGTTAATATTTACCTCAAGATTTTCAGGGGGTATGTCTAGAGATAGCATCAGGTACTGGTCAACATGTCATTCATTTTGCTCAGTATTTCCAGCAAGCCACATTTCAACCTAGTGATATTGATCAAGCTAATATAAAAAGGTAAGCAATTAAATATTGTTGGTCATATTTATTTTCACTAATTCTTAGAAGCATTTAAAGCTTAAAATCAAAATGGTCATCAAAATTTGTGACAAAAGAAATGGGCCAAAACTGTATTTTCAGCTGGATTAAGGTGCTCAAAACTGGAATTTTCATCAACTCAAAATTCAAGAATCCATATCAACCCTTAAAATGACCTTTCTTATTCATGATCAATATTATTTTTGCAAAATTAAAAAAAAAAGAGAGAAAAAAGAATACAGGGAATTCAATGTCTAATATTGGGAATTGCGCTATTAGGGTGAAAATATTGGGATTTTTTAGAATCCCAACAGGATATCACATTATGTAATAGTACTCTCAAAATTGGGTTATACATTTTAGGAAAAATTTGGCAATCTTACTGCTTAAATTTTTTTTCAAAAAGGTACAATTGAATGAACAAATCAGAAATAGTTTTTTCAAAGACAGTATAATAATTGTATTTATGTGAAGCAGCACGCCTCCAGATTCATGTTAATTTTCATAAATATTTTGGAAATGTATTTGATAATATATATATATGTGTATTTTATAAAATAAAATAATGAGGTGAACAAATAAAGTAATTTTCATGTTGCAAGCGGCACTTACAATCAATTAAATTTACCAAAAAGTGATCAACATATGCAAAAACAGCCCTTACTGCATTAGTAATGCAGTAGAAATATGGTGATAATATACTGCAAAATCTGACAGTGTTAAACCGCACATAACATGTAACATATAACTTGGATCTTGAATAGTATTACCTTACATAAAAGTTTAGTGCATTTTTCTCAATATTGATTTTATTGAAATATTTTGACTTATCTGGAGGCTTGCAGCTTTAAGGGTGCTGAAGGAACAGGGGACATAATTATCTTCTTTCTATAACATTAAAATACAACTCAAATAAAGTAAGTTTTGCAAATAGATGGACAAGGTACAATCATTGCCAGATTTTTTATCCATAAAGAAAACAGATTAGTCAGGCAGTTCAAATAATTCTGCTTTTACAGTAATGAGATTGCACTATAGTATACCAGTTATAATTATGAGATTTATTTACTTGTATTTACAGTATATCAGCATATACAGCACATCATGGTCTGTCTAATGTGAAACCACCTATAACCATAGACATCGCAACTCCTGTAACCAGTTGGTCAGAGAAAATAAGCCCCGCCTCCTGTGATGTCATATATAATGCTAACATGGTTCATATATCACCTTGGGAAACAGCTATAGTATGTAATATTACATTTTTTGTCTTAAAGGCACATTATGTCTGAGAAAACCATTTTTTTATTTCTTTAGAAATATCAAACATATGTTTTATAATGTTGTAATAATGGATTGAAAAGCATGTTTTATATTAAACAACTGACAAAAATATTGCTGAACATGCAGTTATGTGTCATAAAGGTAGCAAAATGTAAACAAAGTAGTATTTTGACTTCTATACATAATATTAATGTACTACAATTATATCAATTGCCAACATAGCAACAGAAGCAAAAATAGTTCATCTATATGACAAATGAATATAAGTGTTATAAGTTATTGAAAACTGTAACAAGGTGTCGAAAAATAAAAAGTTTTTTAGAAATAAATATGATAGCTATTTTTGAGGCATAATGTGCCTTTTAGATCATTTAACACTCATATTTTCTACAGTACAATACATATACAGCAGTTGTGTATCACCCTGGGAAACAGCTATAGTATATATTTATCAATTTAGGATCTATATTCTCGAATTTTTTATTTATTTTATGCTCAAATCTACCGGAAATACAATACATTGTCAATTTTAAATCAGAAAGTTTACACCCTCGCCCTTTTGATGTAATTAATATCAAGATGCTACATTGAAACCAAGTGAACAGTGGTGAACACTCCTTTTTATAAGATGTCATTAATGACTGGTTATTTTTTCAATATATATAAATAAATTCACCATTCAGCTCAATAGGGAGAGCATTGTATTAGTACCCCAGGGATGGCTGGCTCAATCCTTTGCAAAGTGTAATTTCTCCATAACAATTGATCTTAGACATTGGCTGTAATGGTCACTAAATGTCTCTCAACACTGATTGATAAATCATGTGGGGTAAGAAATTGGCCACTTGCGGAGAAATAAGTAATAACTGGTTTGTTATCCATGAAAGCTGGTATTGATAGACCACCAAGATATGACCAAAAATTGTGTAAAAATCAGCATAAAAGAACACCAGAAAAATAATGCAAACAAACAAACAAATTTTCATGTTAAGGATAAAAATGGTTGCACACTTAGCTGACTATCAGCTTGATAAATAATTTTAAATTACATATAAGATGCTGCATGCTCTTAAAATCCACAAAATAAATGATTTTGCTACTCTTTGTTTCCTTAAATTTTATTTTCAGGGTTTATTTGAAACAGCAGGCATATTGTTGAAACCAAATGGGATTTTAATAACATATGGGTAGGTTTTGAAATAATGTTTTTTCATAGAGATTTTATCAAATGTTGGATTTTAAAATTTAAAACATAATGGGTTGAAAATGTTTTTTTCAATATATAATAGTAATACTTTGTAAATTTCATTGAATTAGAATGAAGTTGTTTTACAGTGTTTTATCTCTAAATGTTTTACATTGCATATTGAAATGGTAAATGCTAATTGTACAATTTGAGAAGAAAAGCTTTTTTAGAATCTGTAACAAAAATCATTTGCAATTGAAGAGGAATTTTTGTTAAGAGATGTCCAATTGTGTTTAAATTATAATATATGAAATCATTTTAGGAAAATTACTATTAACTTAGAATATCAAAATAATGCATTTTTATCTGAAATTATAAGTTAAGTAAATTTTACCATTAGTTGGGCAATAAAGTGATATTTTGGTTGTTGCTTTAGGTGACTGCTGTTGTAACAAGACCATCACTGGCTGATGTCCCACTGCACTTAACATAAAAGCGAATCTGTCATAAACATTGCATGTGATATTTTATACATGTTATAATAAAATACTGTTAGTGCTGTGATGTTTAGCTGGTTTATTGAAGTAGGTGGTGGTAACCAGATGCTTGCATATACTGAATAAAACAAAATACGGCACATCTCTCTTATAAACTAAACAAACAAAAACCTAAAACTCTCTTCTTTTGTTTTCTGTAAAGGAAGCTATTCAAGTTAGAAAAATCAGTGGTTTACTAAAGTGCTAATGTACCAGAAAACAGGGACATTTGTGAGTCCTTGGCAAGCAACCAATTATAATATTAGAAACCTGAAGAGTCATTTCTTCATTAATTGCTTTAGAAACAGTTACGAGTTAACTTTACTTTTGTTCACCAAGTGTCAATACTTATTAAAGTTGTATACACTAATTTTGCTACAAATTATGTATTTGGTTTTTACAACTGCATTCACATTATTTTCACCTTATCTTAATTCTCTAGGATATGTAATATTTATGTTATAATATTTTGTTATTTTGTAAAATCCTTTTTTTTTTATTTTGAAAAATGTGAACGCCCTATGCGAAGATGGTTTATCTGGAAACCAGAAAGTAACTATAAAGATTTTGACAAATCCTAAAGGCAAAGGTAAATGCTGGTTGTTTTCCTTATTCTAATGAAAAATGTTATACAGGCTATGTTTTAATGTCGACATGTATATGGATTTCCAGTTAAGAGGCATACATTTTAAATGGAGCTCTTTAAAAACAAAAAAAAAAAAAAAAAATGAACTGATGTTAATTCGGAGTACTATCTAGTCCAAAGGCTAATATATTTAAAAGTGCATTTTAATTATGTAACAAAACACTACTGTTAATTTGTACTCAGTTTTATGTTGTTTAGTACACAAGCACTGTTATAGTCTATGTCTATAAAAAATAATGATTGTGTCTGTGTGTTCTGAACTGTCAGGTAAGACAGTTGGCTCCTGATTCTATGGTCATGTATGAGTAGAAATTTTCCCAGTGTCTTGCAATGTCTATTTTGTCTTCTATTAATAGGGAAAATAAGACGGTTTTCAAGAAAGTCAAGAAACTGCAGTGTTATTTTCATTACCTCACACAAAGCATTTTAACATTTTTTTGTCTTTAAAATTTTTATTTAAGCTGTTATTGCCGTGTGGTCTTTGGTTTATTACAGAATTTATTTTAGTTTGATTGTGTAGGAAGGCTATTTAGCTTATGAAACACTTTTCGACATCTGTTCCTGGAACAACGGGTACTTGAGCAATTGAGTGTAAAGTTTCTTGCTCAAGGAAACAAGATTGCCCTGTCAGGGTTTACCCGTGCCGCGCGTATTAGATATGTCGGAAGCGTTACATCTTTTGCAGATTTAAATTTTCTTATTAAAAAAAAGACTATCAAATTGTGAACTTTTAAATAAAACATGTAATAGTGAATCACATATAGTTTTTGTTGTTCCAGGGACCCTTCCTGGGGTGTGAGAGATATAAAAGTTTTTAAAGATTTTAGCAGATAAAAAATGGAAATAAAGCGATGAGATCAGAGGTATGGTATTGTTACTACTTCATCTACACTGACTTAATAGATATGGATTTTACCAACATGTTTTGTACTTTGAGTATGTATGTTTCACCTGCTGTTTAAAGTTACTACATAACAGAAATAGAAGAGTTATATACATGTATGATGTAACAAGAGTGTTACCTATCTGTTTTAGTTTCATCATCTATGTTAAAGTATTTTTTCCTGTTACAGTCCATACTACTTAAGTTACTGTCCTTATTACTTAAGTTTCAGTCCTTATTACTTATGTTACAGTCCATATTACTAATCTTACAGTCCCTATTACTTATGTTACAGTCCCTATTTCTTAAGTTACAGTCCATATTACATATGTTACAGACCTTATTACTTATGTTACAGTCCCTGTTACTTACGTTTTGGTTCTCATTACTTATGTAACAGTCCTCATAACTTATGTTACAGACCTTATCACTTATGTTACAGTCCTTATTACTTATGTTACAGTCCTTATTACTTATGTTACAGTCCCTGTAACTTACGTTTCGGTTCTTATTACTTATGTTACAGTCCTTATTTCTTAAGTAACAGTCCCTATGACTTATGTTACAGTCCTTGTTACTTATGTTACAGTCCTTGTTACTTTTGTTACAGTCACTGTTATTTATGCTACAGTCCCTATTACTTATATTACAGTCCTTATAACTTATGTCACAGTCCTTACTACTCAAGTTACAGTTCTTACTACTTATGTTACAGTGTTGCAGCTGACAATCAGTATTACTTATGCTACAGTCATTTATATTGAAATTGTGGTTATTATTTTGATATTTACTTTGAGAACCATTAGGTATTTTACTCCCTATCATTGACTTTACTGGTATTGGAACATAGTCAAGTACTGTTAAGTAAGCTGATATGTGTCTGAAAACTTCCTATATATCAGACATATATAATAATATCTATGTTCAGTATAATAAAATTCAATGGATACTTGACTTAACATAGCACAACAAAAGGAACATGTCATTATTAAATGGTGAAGTCTTGCGATGTTATCATTCCAATTGTATATACTTACTTGTTGGCGTATTTAATTAAAGTATTATGGAGTATCCAACAAAAATTCTGTCGCATTTAAGCGAAAGACATCACTCATGACTTGGCAATCCTTAATGTGGTCATTGCTCTGTGACCCACAAATCTGTTACATACTTCCTTATGCCCCCTTTAAAAAAAGTGGGTCGGTTATATTGACTTGCATTTAATTTGTCGTTTGTCGGGACCACGACCAAAATGGTGCAAGATGATCTAAACTAAAGAACGCTTTCAGGACCTAGGACTTACAACTTCGGATATAGGGGATTGTTCATTGACCAGTAGGAATAACCTCTTATTGATTTTCTTGGGTCACAAATGGTGCCAAACATCAGTCACCATAACCTGACCACATTGACTATTGGCTGTCGGACTAGGGCGGCCATACCAGTGACATGTTTTACAACTTATCTTGTTAGTATGAATCTTATCCCCAATTAGTGAATTTAAAAAAAAAACAAAAAAAAACCACAAAAAAAAAAACGCGCGTGGCCAGGATGACTTATTTTACAAATTCTGGTCCCATGGCTTGATTTTGTAAGAGTATAAGCGGAAGTGATTTAATATCCTATATGAATATGCATCAATTTACATTATATGTTAAAGAAATCAATCGGGGTGCATATCTTTTATTTCCTGTATAGAATCAGTTTTTACTGTTTTAGAAGTATTTATTTTTGATACTTAATTATTGAACCTTATTTTTGGAGCAGTTGCATTCAGCAACGATTTTCTCTTTGGAATTAATTACTTTATTCTCGAAAGGTATTGAATTGAACCTTTGACAAATTGAGCAATAATGTATGGTGGAGGGATACATTTTCTTTGTCAAAAACTGTGTTTTTAAAATGTTTTAATTTTATTAGTGCTTCACTAATTTCAGAATTCATGCCTTGCCAAACAACAAAAACCTTGATATGGAAAGAAAAGTGTGATACTATCATGAAGCTGATGAAGTAAACATCCTAGATTTTGTAATTAAAGTAGCGTTGCGTGCAACACGAAAGCATTGCCTTGTTGTATGCAAATTATCAGCAGAGACCAAATGTACGATCCCCTTTTAGTGAAAACTCATGGGAATGTAAATTATTGTTGGTTTATATCAATATTTTGAAAACAGTTATTTCAAATATTTATCAGTGTTGATACTTCCTTTTATTATGTTTAGATTAAAGATCTTCGAATTTTTTAGTAGAAGCGAATTTCCTTGTTTGTACAATTTGTGATAACAATTGAGTTTTTGTCAATGTAGAAATAAAACGTTAAAAATTTGCTTTTTTGTTTGTGATTTTGAATATTTAACAATGCATTATTTATAGGAAATATATTGGAAGCAATAGCCCTGCAATTGGATCAATGAACATGAAATTGTCTGTCTCATATCAGGATTATGTGCCCCATGTCCTAGTGGTTTCTCTTCTTTCCTCATGCAATGAGAAATTGTTTGTCTTAAAGATGGATTTGAAGTAGATTGATTTATAACTTTCATCATGACAGAGCTAACGTAAGATAATGATAGATAAGTTTAAGTTTAAAATAACATCTTTCTATCTATAATGTGCATCATGCATCAGTATGAATGCTCACTTGAAGTTATTTAAATTGATTCAACACTTGTAATATGGATTATTCTTCTCCTTGAAATATACCTTGTATGTCAAAATGAATGAAAGCTTCACTATTTTATTTGCATATTTATTTAAATGGAATTCAGGGCATGGTAGATGCATGTTAACACACTTTAGATGTTTTTTAAAGACTAATTTTGCCATCAGGTTAACCATTCTGTAAACTTTATAAACAGATTAGATGTCAAATAAATACAGAAATGTAAAATATTGCATCTTTTTTTATTTGTTATCATAATAATTGAGCCTGTATC